GGCCCTCAGCCTCCTCTCAGGCCCTCAGCCTCCTCCTCTCAGGCCCTCAGCCTCCTCTCAGGCCCTCAGCCTCCTCCCAGGCCCTCAGCCTCCTCCTCTCAGGCCCTCAGCCTCCTCCTCTCAGGCCCTCAGCCTCCTCCCAGGCCCTCAGCCTCCTCTCAGGCCCTCAGCCTCCTCCTCCCAGGCCCTCAGCCTCCTCCTCCCAGGCCCTCAGCCTCCTCCTCCCAGGCCCACAGCCTCCTCTCAGGCCCTCAGCCTCCTCCCAGGCCCTCAGCCGCCTCCTCTCAGGCCCTCAGCCTCCTCCTCCCAGGCCCTCAGCCTCCTCTCAGGCCCTCAGCCTCCTCTCAGGCCCTCAGCCTCCTCCTCTCAGGCCCTCAGCCTCCTCCCAGGCCCTCAGCCTCCTCCTCCCAGGCCCTCAGCCTCTAGCTCTGTGGAAGGAGGGGAGTTTGAAGTTCAGGTGGCCAACCATCTGGGCTTCTCAGCACGTGCTCTCCCTAAAAGCAGGCCTCCCTCCAGGGTCGGTGTTGCTGAGAGAACGCAGTGAGATAGTGTGCCGCCTGCCTGGCTCTTGTAGATGCTCACCAGCTTAGCTTCTCCGCTCCTGGAGGTGGCCCCTTTGGGGTGGCCTGTGTGTGCACCCTCCCTGACACCCCGTGCTCGTTCTAGCCTTACCGGATCTTCAACACCTGGCTGGGGGACCCGTCCAAGAACCTGCTGCTGGCTGAGGTCATCAATGTCATCAAGCGGGAAGATCTGCTGAGCAACGCAGCCCACGCGGGGAAGACCCTGCTCACGGGGCTGCTGGACCTCCAGGTAGTACCCGGCCCCAGCCTCCCAGCCCCGGAGGCTCGGCTCTTCCACAGCACTGCACTGGGCTCCCAGAACGGCCCGCCTGCCGACCCCTGACCTTTGCGTGTGCCGTGCCCTCCGTCAGGAATGCTGCCGTCCTTCCATCAACCCTAGCCCCAGTTCCCAACTCTGTTTACCTCTAAGCACCAACTTCAGACACGCCTCCTCTGAGAAGCCCCCCCAGATACCTCTGCAACCCCATGATGTGTTCATGAGTCCCCGCTGGACCCCTTTTCCTTTGCACTCTCTCATACAGCAGTGCTATCCAACGGTAACAGAACAGAAGCCGCAGAGACGATCTGAACCCTTCCACCGGCCATCGGAAATGTAAAAAGATGGAGGGGAAGTTAATAACTCACATAACCCAATATATCTAAAATATTATCATTCCAGCACACAATTAATGTAAAAACAATTAAGGCACTATTTCATGTTCTTTCTCTTATACTCCTTCTTCTTGGGTGTGGTTCAGTTGATTTTTGATTCGTGTAACCCCGTGTGACAGAGTGGAACTGCCCACAGGGTTTCCTAGGGAGGAGGTCACAGGTCTCAAACCGCCAGCTTTGGGTTAGCAGTGGGGCTGCTTAACCACAGTGCCACCAGGGCGCCTATTTCTCACACGAAGTCTGGTGGGTCCAGCGTGGGTGCTACCCTTAACAGCCCACCTCAGTGTGGACCCCACTTGACCACCTCTCCACTGTCGTGTGGCTCACGGCACCTCACTGAACAGCTCGGCCCCACCGTGTAACTGTTTGTCTTCACTGTGCCCAGCACCCACCCCTACACACAAATGTTACTCTTCTAGGGTGATGGGGGGGGATGGCTGGGGACTGAGGAGGCCCTGGGGGGACCTCCCTGCAGTGGGCCTGCCTGAACCACAGGGGCAGGCCTTGACCCCAGCTTGGTCTCGCCCACGCAGGCCCGGTACCCCCAGCTCATCAGCCGAGTGAGAGGACGAGGCACCTTCTGCTCCTTCGACACTCCAGATGAACCCACACGGAATAAACTCATTTTAATAGCCAGAAACAAAGGTAAGGAGCTAGGCAGGAAGGAGCCAAGCTTCATCACGCACCCAAGATGAGGCAGCACGCTTGCTGAAGACTGCCGGCTAGTGGGGAAGGTGGTCCACGGGGCATAGTCTGAATGTTCTTTAGACCAGTGAGGTCCCTTTATTTATTCCATTTATTCATTCAACAAACACTCCCTGAGAGTGTGCCTGGTGGCAGCAGTGAAATGGTCACAGTGATGAACAAGGAGCTTACCGTCTAGTGGGAGGAGGCAATGTTAGACACAGCATCTCATACATGGCCCATCAACTGCAGTGATGGTAAGTCCTGAGAAAGAGGCAAAGGACTAAGAGAGTGAATAGCTGGGGAAACTATGGAGAACAGGAAGTCAGGGAAGGCTTCCTATAGGAAGTGGCCTTTTACATTAAGTTTCGAAGATGAATGGAGGTGAGGAAGAGCGTTCAGGCCAGGGAGGAAATGTGCAAAGACTGCAGGCAGCGCAGGGCTTATTGTTGTTAGGGCGGGTGTCCTCGAATCAATCCCGACTCATAGTGACTCTACATGACAGAGTAGAACCGCCCCATCAGATCTCCCAGGCTGTCATCTTTACAGGAGCGGGTCACCAGGTCTCCACTCCTATGGAGCAGCTGGTAGGTTCCAAGCTCTCAGCAGCTGAGTCCCTAACCACTCTGCCACCAGACCAGGGCTTCTGCAGGGCGTATAGACCTGTGAAACCAAACTCACTGGCGTCAAGTCAACTCCAACTTACACCAACCTTGTAGGACAGTGTAGAACTGCCCTATAGGGTTTTCCTGTAATCCTTAAGGAAGCAGACTGCCACATCATTCTCCCACGGAGCAGCTGGTGGGTTCAAACTGCCAACCTGGTTAGCAGCTGTTAGCACTTAGCCAGTTGCCACCAGAACTTCTTACAGGGCATGTTTAAAGAAAAAAAAAACCTCACCGCCATCAAGACAATTCCAACTCACAGTGAGCCCCGCTGGCTTTCCGAGGCGGTAAATCTTTACGGAAGTCGATCGCCCAGTCTCCCTTCCCTGGCGCAGCTGGTGGGTCTGGACCGCCAACCTTCTGGTCAGCAGTCAGATGCCTTGGGCACTGCGCCACCAGAGTGCGTTTACAGGGTTTACTCAAAAGCAAACTCACTGCCATTGAGTCGATTCCGACTCATAGCAACCTCGATGGGGTTTCTGAGGCTGTGAATCTTTATGGAAATAGATCACCTGTTCTGGTTCCCTGGTGCCACTCTGACAGGAATACACCACAAATGGGATGCCTTAACAAACAGGACTTTATTCTCTTACAGTTTGGAGGCTTTAAGTCCGAGTTCAAAATGCCAGGCTCTAGGCGCTGGGTGAAAGCGCCTCAGCCTTGGGCCTCAGCTCTGCCTCCTGCTCCCGGCCCACTGAAGCTGGAGGCTTTTCTTCACTCAGCTGCTGAAGCTGACAAGCCCAAGGTTGACATGAAATGAGGCACAGTCCTGATGTTACCAAAACACATGGCAGGCCGTTAGTTCAAGTCCATTAACGTCCCAAGATAGGTAGAGCATGGCAGGCTGGTGAATAACGACACAGCTACATGCAGGGTTCAAGGTGCCATAAGCTAGAGACCATTCCCAAAGCTGCTGCTTATATACAAGAAGCAGACCACATCCCTAAAGCAGCTACTCAGCTGCCTGTGGTAGAGCCCACCATGGAGTTGACTGCCAATCTCATCCTGGAGAATAACTACCACCGGCTGCCCAGCCACTCAACCAGGCCCAGCCAAGCTGACACACAACCTTAACTACCACATCACCCCATCTTCCTTCTGCAGAGCGGCTGGTAGGTTTGAACCACTGACCTTCTGGTTAGTGGCCAAGTGCCTCATGCACTACACCACCAGAGCGCTTGCAGGGCTTCCAGAGGTGTTGAAGTGGAAAGAGTGAAGTGAGCTGAGCAGGACACAGGCTGGCAGGGAATGGAGCTGGGGTGGGAGGATGCTGGGCCTGCCTCACGCTGCTCGCCGGGCAAGCTTCCAGAGGGGACTTCCCCTGAGAGCCGTGGAAAACCACTAGAGAGTTTTAAACGGGAAGTGATGTGGAGCCGTGAGAGATTCCATGCCAAGGTGCTATCAGGTCTTCTCCTAGTAGCATCTCATGAAATCTGAATAGCATCCCTCAGGGCAGGGAGGAGGAGCCACCAATCTCAGGGATGCCGAATAACGTGGACAAGGAGCCCCAGCTGAGAAATGACAGTGGTGCCCTTTTAAGTAAGTGGGACCCACCCCTCCTGGTGATAGTCCTGTCCCTCACCCAGGCTTCAGTGCACCTTTTGTGATCTTGTGTATTTCCCCACCACACCCTGAGTTTCTGGAAGGCAAGGACTTTCTATCAGAAGACTAGGTCAGGGCAACAGAGCAGGCCTTCAAGGCAGGAAGACAGGGAGACTAGAAGATAGGCAGGAAGGTGAGTAGGTGTGTGGGAGGGAGGGAATGATGGATGACATGAATGGAGAGAGAGGGGGTGAAGGATGGATGGTTGGATGGAAGGAAGGGCAGACAGAAGCCTGGACAGACAGAATGATAATTGGATGGAGGAGTGGGACCAATAGTACGGAACACCCCTTCCTGCACTCACTGCTGTGACTTCATGAGCCCAGACTCCTAACCTGCCTCCTGCCTTGTCTTCCAGGTGTGGTGTTGGGAGGCTGTGGCGACAAATCCATCCGTTTCCGTCCCACCATGGTTTTCAGGGACCACCACGCACACCTGTTCCTCAATATTTTCAGCGACATCTTAGCCAACTTCAAGTAAAGAAGCGTTTCCATTCCACTCTGGGAAGCCCCAATCTCAACAGCTGTCAAACTGATTAGTTTGCCTGATTCATGTTTTCACTTAAAGTCTCGGAGGTGAACGCATAAACAGAAGGGTTATTTGTGGTGGGGGGATGCTCTTCGTGGTTCTGAGGGGAGGCGAGGAGTGGAGAGTGGGGCTGGCTTTGACCTTCCTCCCTGTTGAGCCAATGGGGTACATTGGTTTAAACCCAGAAATTCTGCTTGAGCCCTGGACGGTGTCTTCTGGGGAGGGATGCGAGAGCCCTGTCCATATTTCTGTCCACCCTTGACCCCTCCCATTTCTTTGGAAGCCAGTCAAGGGGGCTGGACCTGCTCCTGGGACTGGGGGCCAGGACTCTTGGGTTCCAGTCCATCTCAAGTGCCATATTCTGTGAGCAAGGATGCCGGCTTCCCTATGCAACCAATCACATGCTCACCTCTCGCCCCTCCCTGGAGCACAGCTGAGAGAGGGACAGGATAGACCGTACGAGGACAGTGAAATGGGGCCACTGGGACCGAACCTGGGGGTGCACTGGGGATTGCTCTCACCTGCAAACCCACCCTTGGAGTGGGAATGCCCTTGGAGCACCTCCAAGGGTTCTAACCCACCATCCCCATCTCCAAACCCCCACCTACTCGTCCTCACTGCTCAGTATCAGCCTAGACTTTGGAGGGAAGCTACAGCCTGAGCATCATGGGACACACGTGACCCAAAGGGTCAGACGTACACTCCTGTCACCCGCCCTGGGAGGGTGAGTCAGGGCCTGGGGCAGCAGCCACTCCATCCTGTCTCTAAGGGCATCCAGGGGCTGGTTTGGGACCCCTCACCCTGGGAGGCACTCTCTCCAGCTTTTCCTCACCCCCCTTTGCTCTGCTTCTGGGGAGCCCTGTGGACACTTGGCTCTCCCATCAGGGGACACTTGCTGGGCTAGATTTCCTCCTGAGCTTCATGAATGGAAGGTACTAGGTCCCATCATGGCCGGGTGGCTGCCTTGGACTTGCCAAGCAAATGAGAGCTTTTCCTGAGATGAGTGTCAGATCGGGCTGCGACTGAGGTGATCTCTGCTGGGGTGGGATGTCCTTGGAATGATGGGACCTCCACAGTTCTACAGTGACACGTTGTGGTCAGTGGTAGACTAGGCAAGTCTGGCTTGTAGCCTCTGTCCAGAAGGAAGCTCTTCAGGCTGGCGCCTTGGTTGTCGGTCATGGCCAACGAGCGCACGAAGCTCTCCACTCAGCACTCGGCTCTTCTCATAACTCACCATCCAGATCCCAGAAGGTTGTTTTTAGCTTCCACTCTTCAACAGATTTGGTCATCGACCTGTTTTTGTTAAGCAAGGCACTCCCATGTTTAACCGAGCAGACCAATCCTGAAGTCCAGCTCCCTTAGCATTCCCGCAGTCAGGGCAGAACTGTTGCTTTCCAGCGTCCTGCCGTCTCCAGGGCCGCTCGCACTGCCACCCAATGGAGATGTCTGCCTCCCCTCTCTGTGGTGTGACACATTTGTATATTCATTTATTCATTCATCAAACTTTCGTTAACTACTGCTCCATCCCAGGTGCACTAGGGATGCAAAGATGAATTGTAAAATATAGTCCCTGCTATATATATAGAGAGAGACACACAAACACACACACACACACATATATATACAGCAGGGACTAGGAACTCATCCTACTGGGGACAACAGACTCTTAAACCAGTAAGTGAAGCAGAGTGGCAAGTGCTAAAACAGAGATACATGCGAGGAACATCAGGAGATCAGAGGAGGCTTCAGGGAGGAAGTGACGTTTGAGCCGGGTTTTGCAGAGTGAGTAGGAGTTCACCAAACAGACAAGAAAAGGAAGAGTGTTGCCAAAATGGAAACCAGCAGGATGTGCGAAGGCACACCAGATCATGTTCTCACTCCTTTCACTGGAGAGCCAGATTCCACAGGCAATATTCCAAGGTTCAAGGCCTTATTTAACAAAGCAAACCAAATGCAAACCCAATCAGAATTCATTCATCGGCTTAAGTATTCTTTCTTCTGAGATCTTCAGCACTGGGTGCAAACATTCAATCAGGTTCTTGGAGTCTCAGAGGGTTTTTAAGCCAGGGCACAACCAGAAACTTCTTGGATGGAGAGAGTGGCTCCGATATTTTGTTCTCTCCTCACTGGGCATTGACTGAGGAATGAAATCATCTTATCTGGAAAAGCCATTTCCAGACTTGCTGTCCACTCCTTACCAAGAGAAGTTAACTTCTCATGAAAAATGTTAAGCCATTTATCAACAAGTTCTTGTTGACTCAGGGTGGAATGAGTTCCTGAGACATCCTCCTGGGGTAGTGGAAGAAACTGAAGGGGAAGAAGAACCCGGCAGAGCTCAAGAGGTGGAAACGTGGAGGAGGCTGGGGAGCCCAGAGGACAGTCTGCCATCTAGGGCAGAGCCCGTGAAGAGCGTCTGCGGCCAACAGCCTGGAGAAGAGCCCATCACACATTAGTGCCGTCGACTCCTGTAACTGTCCCTAGCAAGTCTTGTCACTTTTACAGAAAACAAGGTCCAGTGATAGCAAGTCTTAGCACATCCTCACTTTTATTATAAATGGGTGTTTTTTATAATTTTTACTGACACTCAGTAACCATGAAACATTGTGCACCCCATTAATGTACCTATATATCTATCCCTAACTATATATGTACACATGTATATATGTGTGTATATATGTGTCACCTCATGGTAGAGAACCTTAGCAAGGGAGCATCGCCAACTTACGCATACCAAGTGATCTTGTTTACAGTATTCTGTTGACAGTGCCAATCAATGATGAAGAAATTAACAACTTGTCACAATGTAACTGATGACCATATGCACAATTCCATTAATTAAATCCGTTTCCTGTGTTGATCAGTATTCTTAAATTAAAAATTTATAATGGAAGTATCAGAGTGAACGTGGCCTCCTTGGGGTTGGGAAACCGTTTTGTCAAACTATTTGACTAATATTTACTGAGCGCCCGTGGATTGACACAGTGGCTATAGCAGTGGACTCAAACAGCCGTGATTGTGAGGACGGTACACAGGGGTCGCTGTGGGTCGGAACTGACTCAACAGCGTGTAACAACATGTATGGTCACTGTGAGTCAGAACCCACCCAAGGGCATTGAACAACATGTATGTCTGAGTCCTGGGGTGCTGTGAATGGCCGGTAGGTTCTGCCACTAACAGAGTTTGGAAGTTTGGGTCTCCCAGAGGTGCCTCGGTCAAAAGGCCTGGTGATCACCCCCTAACAACAACCACTGGAAACCCGAGAGGGCAGAGTTCTGCTCAGACGCGTGAGGGATCACCATGAGCCAGAACCAGCTGCTGAAGTGCATGGTCGTCCTTTTCCCACTTCATGTCCCTGCAGCTACGTCACATACACTGTTCTAAACAACAGCACTGCATTTCTTTCAGAGTTAAGTTCCCATCCATAAGTATGAAATCTACTTCCCAACACAAGTTTAAGCCCAAACAGATCCTAGAATGTGTTGTAATGGTTACAATCAATAAAACAAACGTTTTGTCACTCCAGTCAGTGCAAACATGGCCAGATGGCATCGCCCTGCCTGATGAACGCGGAGCAGGCAGATTTTACAATTGAATGCCACCGTATCTAAACAAGGCCATAAAAGTTGGACTCTGCCTGGGGTCCAAAGGGGCCCTGTTACTTTCTGCTTCGGGGCCCGCAGTTTCTGAAGTCAGAAAGCAGCAGCCAAGGCAGA